TTGTTCTCAACTATAGGAATAATAGGAGAAGGGTTTTGGAGGCAGCATCTCCGAGTCTGGTCAATGAAAGTTAGGGGGGTTTTTTGGGTTTTTTTTGGGGGGGGGCTAGGCAATGGGGTTAAGTGACTTGCCCAGGGTCACACAGCTAGTAAGTATTATATGTCTGAGACTGGATTTGAACTCAGGTCCTCCTGAATCCAGGGCTGGTGCTCTATCCACTGTGTCACCTAGCTGCCCCGAAAGTTAGTTTCTAGGTACAATATGTGGATACTTCACAAGAACCCTATGACATCTAGATGAAGGAATGCTGTGGGTCTTACTAGGGCATCAAGGGATTGCAGAGGTCCTGGACATGAGAATGTCCTGCCATTCCCCACAACCTCCCCCCCCCCCAAAAGGCAAGGATTATTAATTGTCCCATTTTCTTTCTGTCTCCTGGCTGTTGATGGTTGTCCAAGCACCTAGGAAGAAGAGGGTGTTTTCCTAACTAGCTGATATTAGAGAAATCAGCCCTTTACTTTATAAACCTTTAAACACTCTATAAAATATAGACCCTATGAGGATGTGTGAGTGCCAGATGCCCAGTTCACCTGGTGAGCCAGGAACTGGAATGGTCCCAGGGAAATCACCTTTGTATTCATCTGGTAATGCTTGTTAGCTATTCAGTTCCCCTGGCCTATAGCCCACTGAAATAGTAAGATGCTTAGCTGATCTATGATATTTGTAGTTCATTTGTTTAAAATAGGATTTTATTTTTTTCCCAATTACATGTCAAGACAATTTTTGTCATCCACTTTTACAAGATTTTGAGCTCCAATTTTTTTCCCTCTCTCGGCTCTCCTCTTCTTTAAATGGTAGGCAATTTGATATAGATTATACATGTGCTATCATGTAAAACGTATTTTCATATTAGTCACAGTTGTAAAAGAACTAGATCAAAAGGAAAAAAAACCACAAAAAAGAATAAAGTAAGTGAAAGAAGTATGTTTTGATCTGCATTCAGAGTCCATCAGTTTTTTATCTGGATGTGGATAGCATTTTCCTTCATGAGTCCTTTGTAATTGTCTTGGATTATTATGTTGCTGAGAAGAGCTGAGTCATTCATAGTTGATCATCACACAGTGTTGCTGTTACTGCATACAATGTTTTCCTGGTTCTCCTCATTTCAGTTTGCATCGGTTTGTACAAGTCTTTCCAGGTTTTTTCTGAAATCTGTCTGTTCATCATTTCTTATAGCACGTTAGTATACCATGACATTTGTATGCCACAGCTTGTTCAGCCATTCCCCAATTGACGGGCATCTCCTCAAGTTCCAATTTTTGCCACCACAAAAAGGGGTGTTATAAATATTTTTGCCCATATAGGTCTTTTTCCCTTTTTATGATCTCTTTGCGATACAGACCTAGTAGTGGTATTGCTGGATCGAAAGGTATGCACGGTTCGGTTGCCCTTTGGTCATCGTTCCAAATTGTTCTCCCAGAGTGGTTGGATCAGTTCACAACTCCACCAACAATGCATTAATGTCCCAATTTCCCCACATCCTCTCCAACATTTATCATTTTCCTTTTTTTTTGTCATATTAGCCAATCTGATAGGTGTAAGGTGGTACTTCAGAGTTGTTTTAATTTGCATTTCTTTAATCAAAAGTGATTTAGAGCACTTCTCCATATGTCTATAGATAGCTTTGGTTTCATCATCTGAAAACTGTTCATATCCTTGGACCGTTTCTCATTTGGGGAATGGCTTCTATTCTTATCAATTTGACTCAGTTCTCTATATATTTGAAAAATGAGACACTTGCTGTAAAGATTGTTTCCCAGCTTTCTGCTTCCCTTCTAATCTTGGTTGCGTTGGTTTTGTTTGTACAAAAGCCTTTTAATGTGATATAATCAAAATTATGCATTTTAGATTTCATAATGATCTCTCTGTCTCTTGTTTGTTCATGAATTCTTCCCTTCTCTATCCTTTAAGAATCTGGATGCTGTACCACCTGGTGCATATATGTTTAGTATTGATATTATTTCATTGTCTATGGTACCTTTTAGCAAGATGTAGTTTCCTTCCTTATCTCTTTTAATTAGGTCTATTTTTGCTTTTGTGTTGTCTGAGATCAGGATTGCTACTCCTGCTTTTTTACTTAAGCTGAAGCATAATGGATTCTGCTCCAGGCCTTTACCTTTACCCTATGTGTGTGTCGCTCTGCTTTAAGCATGTTTCTTGTGAACAGTATGTTGTAAGATTCTGGCTTGTGATCCACTCTGCAATCCACTTCTGTTTTGTGGGAGAGTTCACCCCATTCACATTCACAGTTATTATTACTAACTGTGTATTTCCCTCCATCCTACTTTTCCTTCTGTTTGTCCTCTCTCCTTTCCCCCTTTCCCTTCTCAACATTGTTTTCCTTCTGTCTACCACCTCCTCTAGTCTGTCGTCTCTTCTGTCAGTCGCCCACTCCCTTTACTTAATCTCCTCCCCTCCTACTTTCCTGTAGAGTAAGATAGATTTCTGTATTCAGTTGATTGTGTGTTATTCCCTCTTTGAACCAATACTAATGAGAGTAAGGTTTAAGTGGTGCCCATCTCCCACCCTCCCATCTTTCCCTCTGCTGTAACAGGTTTTTATGCCTCTTCATGTGAAACAATTTGCCCCCTTCTACCTCTCCCTTATTTCTGCACCCAGTATACTCCTCTTTCTCATCCCTCAGTATTTTTTATGTCATTCTCTACAGTTCACGCTATACCCATACCCTCTGTCTATGTACATTCCTTCTAGCTGTACTATTAATGGTACAGTTTTTAAGAATTTATCATCTTCACATGGGATGTAAACAGTTTAGCTCCACTGAACCCATTATGTTTTCTTTTCCATTTTTACTTTTTGAGGCTTCTCTTGGGTCTTGATATTACAGATCACATCTTTTGTTCATTTCTGGTCTTCTCCTTAGGAAAGTTTGAAATTCTTCTATTTAATTGAATGACTATTTTTTCCCCTTGGAGTACTGTGCCTGATTTCACTGGTAGGTGATTCTTGGTTGCAGTCCTAGCTCCTTTGCCTTATGGAATATCGTGTTGTATGACCTGAGATTTGGCTATAATGTTCCTTGGAGTTTTTACTTTGGGATATCTTTCCTGAGGTGATCAGTGGATTCTTTCAATGCCTGTTTTGCCCTCTGGTTCCAGGATATCAGGGTAGTTTCCTTGGTAATTTCTTGAAAGAGACGCTGTCCAGGTCCTCCTTTTGATTATGGTTTTCAGGTAGTCCAATGATTGTGATATTGTCTCTCCTGGCTCTGTTTTCCAGTGAGGTATTTTTAAATTTGCTTCTATTTTTTCATTCTTTTGAATTTTTTTGATTGACTCTTGATGTCTCATTGAGTCATTAGCTTCCACTTCCTCATAGCCTTTCCTTCTGCCATTTTCCTGTTGGCCAGTATGACTCCAGACATGTGACATTGGGTCCCATAGGTGCCTATTAGTTATCACATCAGCCCATGTCTGGATCTCATGCTAAGTAAACAAGCTAGAGTAGAGCTCTTCCTTTTGCTAAAGAAACTGCTTTATTTTTTATTTTTTGCTTTGATCTGCATTCAGACTTTATAGTTCTTTTTTCTGGATGTGGATAGCATTTTCCATCATGAGTCTTTTGGAGTTGTCTTAGATCCTTGCATTTCTGAGAAGAGCTAAATTTGTTAAAGTTAGTCATCACACAGTGTCGCTGTTATTATGTACAATATTCTCCTGGTTCTGCTCACTTCGCTCAGCATCAGTTCATATAAGTCTTTCCAGGTTTTTCTGAAGTCTGCCTACTCATTATTTCTTATGGGAAAATAATATTCCATCACATTCATACACCACAACTTGTTCAACCATTCCCCAAGTGATGGGCATCCCCTCAACTTCCAAAAATAGCTCCTATAAATATTTTTGTACATGTGGGTCCTTTTCGCATTTTTATAATCTCTTTGGGATACAGCCCTAGAAACACTATTGCTGAGTCAAAGGCTAAGCACAGTTTTATAGCCCTTTGGGTAGAAACTGTGCTTAATTTCTAAGTACATAAGTTCCATCTGTCTCTCCACAGAGGCAGCCCAGCCACAATCCCCCATCAAGACTGTTGTCTGGCTGTGTCTTGGCAGTGAGGCCAAAATAAGCAATCAGGTTAGAGGGAAGAGAACTCATTCTTTTTCTTGGTTTTTCTTTAATGCCCAAGGAGCAGTCTCTGTCTGGTAGGATGTGCTGTGTTTTCTTATATTCCAATAGAGTACAGAGAGCTTGTGTTGAGTTTTTCAGGTGCATTAATGCTTATCATGAAACCTTGGGTCTGTGATTCATAACAGAGAGTTCTTAGGTTTAGAAGGGCCATAAGAGGGTCATCTAATCCATCCCTTTCAGTCATGTATGACAGTTATCAAATCTTTCCAAAAATATTACTGACAGTTAAGCCCACATATGCTAATCTGAAAGTTATCAGAAAGGTAACTATAGAATATAAGTTTCTTGAGGGCAGGAACTGGTTTTCATTTTGTCTTTATATCATTAGCACCCATCACAGAGCCTTGCATAGTAAGCACTTATTTGTTGGACTGGACAAGTGTCTACATTTTAAAAAGAAGGGAAGGAGAGAGGGAAGAAGGAAGGAAGGAAAGAAGGAAGGAAAGAAAGAAGGAAGGAAGGAAGGGAAGGAGGGAGGGAGGGAGGAAGGAAGGGAGGAAGGGAGGAAGGCTGGCTTCCAGAAGGGACATCAGGCATTTCATTGTCTTATAATCTCAACAAACATCTTGAAAGTTGCCTTATACCAGATTACTCACCATCTTTCAGACAACTATGTTATAAAGTATAAAGAAAACTACTTGGTTGTCAATGTCTAGCCTCAGTTTTTTATCTGCCTTCCTTGCATCTTAATATGGTGAGAATCAATTGAAAGGAATGTTTTTAGATCTTTGAAATGTGTAAAATGTGTCCAGGTTATTCTCATGATTAACTTTTCCTTTTCCCATGTAGGTGGAAATGCTAGAACGGAAATATGGGGGCCGTCTCATAACCCGCCATGCAGCCCGAACCATCCAGACAGCGTTCCGCCAATACCAAATGAACAAGAACTTTGAGCGACTCCGGAGTTCTATGTCAGAAAATCGTATGTCACGACGCATTGTGCTGTCCAATATGAGAATGCAGTTTTCTTTTGAAGGGCCAGAGAAAGTCCATAGCTCCTACTTTGAAGGGAAGCAGGTGTCTGTGACAAATGATGGAACCAAACTTGGGTCTCTGGTCCAGTCCGAGTGTGGTGACATTGTGGAACCAGCAACAATGAAGTCTCCAGCTGCCTCCAGCGACTTTGCTGATGCCATCACAGAGCTGGAAGATGCCTTTTCCAGGCAAGTAAAGTCCCTTGCCGAGTCAATTGATGATGCCTTGAATTGCCGCAGTCTGCATGCTGATGAGGTTCCAACCTCCGAGCCCATCAGGAGCCGAGACCTGGAGCGGGAGAGCTGTGGGAGGGAGCTCAAACCTGCCCTCCATGGTGTAGACCATCGGAAGCTGGATGAGATGACTGCCTCCTACAGTGATGTCACCCTGTACATTGATGAGGAGGAGCTCTCCCCACCCCTTCCTCTTTCTCAGTCTGTGGACAGACCATCCAGCACTGAGTCAGACTTAAGGCTGCGCTCTGTGAATTCTTCTCAGGAGTACTGGTCAATGACTCACAAGGATGACAAAATGGACACTGATACTAGTTGCCGGAGCACCCCTTCCCTGGAACGCCAGGAGCAGAGGCTACGGATGGACCATTTGCCTCTGCTCACCATAGAACCCCCAAGCGATAGCTCTGTAGACCTCAGCGATCGCTCTGAACGGGGCTCACTAAAGAGGCAGAATGCCTATGACCGAAGCCTTAGCAACCAGCAAGGGAGCCCCAAGCATGTGCCCCACGGGATCCCCGCCAAGATCATCCCCCGGGAGGAGCCAGAACCTCGGCACCGGCCCCGGCCCATCGATAGTCATTTGGCCATCAATGGTACTGCCAACAGACAGAGTAAGTCGGAGTCGGATTATTCTGATGGTGACAATGACAGTATCAATAGTACCTCCAATTCTAATGACACAATAAACTGCAGCTCAGAGTCCTCCTCCCGGGACAGCTTGCGGGAGCAAACTTTGAGCAAGCAAACCTACCACAAGGAGACTCGAAACAGCTGGGACTCACCAGCCTTCAGTAATGATGTCATCCGGAAACGCCATTACAGGATTGGATTGAACCTCTTTAATAAGTAAGTGCTCTGTGGTGGTTCAAGCTCCCATGGCTCCACTGATAGCCTTTTGGCTGGTGTATAAAGTGGGAGGTGGGGCAGAATGAAGAGGAGTGGGCATGGGGGAGAGAGACAACTGAAAAATGGAAATTAGGCAGGACAGAACCATTGAGTGTTAGCCAGGATTGGCTGAAGGAACTAGGAATGTTTAACTTGGAGAAGACTTTAAGAGGAACATAAGAGTTGTCTTTGGGTGTTCGAAGGGATGTCACATTGAGACATTAGATACATTTCTTGTCATCTCAAAAAACTGGACAAAAAAAAATGGCCCAGCATTGCAATGAGGCAGACTTTTGTTAGACAGAAGGAAAGACTTCTAACAATTAGAGAATCCCCCCACATTTCCATCAGTGGAGGCTGGTTGACCTCCACCTGCTGCAGATGGATGTAGGAGAAGGAGATGGCCATTCAGGTGTAGGCTGACCGAGGTGGCTTCTGAGTTCCTGAGATTAGACCTCCTGTGACGGAAGCTGGGGGAACTCTAGAAAATCATGGTTGGGACATAATATAGCTAATAAGAACCAAAAACAGGCAGAGATTTCCTGTGACCACCGAAGGGTTAAATGCACCAAGGCCTCACTTTCATGGTAAAGTGTTTGCCCAGTAGAGCAATTATGAGAATAGCCTGAGGTTGAATTTACTTTCCTTTCAGGTTGCATGTTTGTGTTTCTGCTCAGATTAAACCACTATTACTACAGTATTTAATATAAGGATTGTGGAGTCTCTGAAAGACTCTTTGTTTTTCACATGCAGGTTCTGGTGAGGGGAAGGGACCATTCATAGGGCTGGCAGTATAGAAACAAACGGTTGGCCAAGGGTGCTGTTATGGCAGTGATGTCACTTAGATCTGTTTACTCTCAGTTCTGAAACGCACTGTCTTTGCACCTTTGCCAAAAGGATGAACAATAGCTTCTGTCTCTGTCTTCTAAGACCTCTCTTCTCTCTGTGGAGTGTGTGAGCATGTCTGGGAAAAACAGCTGTGCCAGCGTTGAAGGCAGTGGGGGCCAACAGTCCTGCTGAACCGAACTGCTTAGGAAAAGTACTGAAAGATGACTCTGAGCTTCCAGCCTGGCCTGAGCTGTGGTTGTGTTTGAAAGGAGTAGGGTAGGTGTCACCGGCAATTGAAAGGGGGCGTGGAGGCAGGCTAAAGGCAGGCATATGGACAGGGGAAGGGGTTTGGGAAGCATAGAAGGAGACTTTTCCCAGCTGAGAATTCACAGAGCTCAACTCACCATTTTGTCCTGCATTCTCATTCTGACCTAGGTAATGAGCATATAACAGTAAGGCAGGCTTACATTTGTGTAGATCTTTGCAGATTTTAAACCATTTTCTCATCCAGTCTCTCTCGTTGTCCTCAAAGCATGGATCAGCAGGAGAAGTCAGATGATCCTAGCTGTCCAGATGACAGTTCTGGGGCCAGAGGAGGTCAGAGTGATAGACCTGAAGCCCTGTGACTTGGGAGTGGTGGAGAAATGACCAGTTTACCTGATGCCTGGTCCAGGATTCTCAGGAGTATGACTGTAGCTGTGTCTCTTATGTGAGTGACACAAGGAAAAGGCCCTTGGCAAGGAGTAAGGTAGCATGGCTTCTGTAACGGAGACTAACCTCATTCGGTAACTTTGGGCACTTTGTGAAGCTGCTCTGCTCCTCACCTTCCTCATCTCTCATGCTGACCACGTTGCCCACCATCTCATGGATGCTTAACAAATGCTTTTTGGCAGATTGATAATCATCTTACAGAGATGTTGAGAATTGGATAAGATATGGTTGTAAACGCTCTCTGAAAAGAATAAGACATTGCAGAAAGAAAAGAAATTGCCATGACTCTTGATGAATAGGAGAATGGGACCAGGGAATATGCAGCCTCCCTGAATTCCACAGGGACTCTTCCAAGCTCCCTTGAACCAACACATACCATTTCTGCCCAGCTTCCCCAGTGTCCCTCTCCTTTTATCAGAGCTCTTCACAGATTGCTTGAGGAACAAAGATTCATCTTTAATTCCTTTGGCCATTTACCAGTGCATGGGGTGAGGGGGGGAGGGCAAAGTAGGGATGGAGCGGGGAGGGAGAAGGGGTTTGAGAGCAGTGAGTGGCCAGAGGGCAGAGAGCAGGGAGGTTGAGAAGTGGAATCTATATAATCCCATGCTGAATGTCACTCCGACATCAGTGTGTTGGCTCTGATGAGGGTCTGCTTGCTAACTGGGTAGAAATAATGGTATAATCTAAAATTCTGGGTCCCCAAATAGAAGCTACAAAATGTTGTCTCCTAGCCTCTTTCCCTCCACCCTTCCCCCAATCCCCCAAAGCTTTAGAATATTCAGTTCATCAAATATTTATTAAATGCCTGTTGTGTGCTGGGCAGTGAAAATGCAAAGAACCGTTTGTGTAATATGTTTAAGCTTGACAAAGTGTTTTCCTTATCACAACCTGTGAAGTAGATAATGCAAGTATTATTACTCCCATTTTGCAAAGGAGAAGAGTAAGGCTTAGACAGATGAGGGGGTTTTTGGCAGTCATGCACTGACACTAATTAAGTGGCAGATAGCAAACTCCTTAAGAGCAGGGACTGTTGTATTTCGGTGTGCATTAGGAGGAAAGCCTTGGCCACTGAATTGGAACACCTGGGTTGAAAATCTTGGCTCGGATGGAGGAGCCTGAATTGCCGTGGGTGGGCCTTCTGAGCCAGACTGGGAGACTTTTGCTTTCTCCTTAGAATCAGCAGCTTATGGATTAAGTGGCTGTTAATCAGGAGTGCCAAGCCAAGGTCAGGTGTGTGTATGTGTGTGTTTGATGGGCAGAGGGCGGGGAGTCAGCAACTAAGGCCAGCATTTCTGGAAGGCAAAATGAACTGGGTCCTTTGAGGAGCTGTTCCCATTGGCTTGTACACTAGAAGGGTTCCTCTCCTGTTGGGAAAATTAACTACAGACAGGTATTTAAAACACTCTATTCTTAGCCCAGCCTAAAATAGTTCAGGCGGGTGGAGGGAGGGAAGTTGATGGAGCTTGGTGAGTCTGGAGAGCCTCTTGTTAAACGGGAATCTAAGATCGCACATTATTTCCAAGTCATAAGACCAGAGGCCTGATGCTGACTCTTCGGGAGATGTGGACTCAAAGGGAGCAGGGGGTGGGGCCAGCTTTGCTGCCTCCCCACCCACATCAGCTGGGACTAACACGGAGTCGGGGTAGGGAGGAATGGAGGTGGAGAGGTTGAACTGCATCCTGTGGTTCAGCCCCAAGAAAGAATAACCGTGTGGTGCTGGAGGGTCAGGGTGGCGGGTTCGGTCCTCCTGAGCCTCTTCTGTGCTAGCCGAGTGGTAATGGTTTGTTTGCACCCTGCCTTAAACTCCCTAGGTCTCTCCCATTTTCTGTTTTGTTACCTGTGGAGAAATTTAGATTGTGATTCTCAAAACCCTTCAATGTTATGGCTTAGGACCGTATTGTACAGTAAATTGAAGAAGAGTATATGACTGTGGTGGGGTTGTTGTGTGTGCCAGCTCAGGGTTAGTAAGTAGAGTTGTCCTGGGGGAAGGGAGGGAGTTGGAAGAAGGAAGGAGAATCACGGAATCTTAGAGCTGGAAGGGCCTCCAGGCAGGAGCCATCTGTGCCTAAATACCACACACACACACACACACACACACACACACACACACACACACACACACACACATTCATCTATCTGGTTTTTGCTTGGTGACTTCCGTGAATGGGGAAAAAAAGTGCTGAACCTGGAGTCATGGACCTGAGTTCCAGTTCCAATCCACCACTAGCTATCATCTCTGGAGCTTACTTCATCATCCATAAAATGAGGGTATTGGCCTAAATGACCTCTCAGGTCCCTTTCAGCTTTATATCTGTGATCCTATGACCTTTCAAGATGGCCTGGTGCAATTTTGGTTAGCTCTAATTGTGCCTGGAATATAGTATGCTTTTAATAGATGCTTATTGATTTACTAATTTTTGGGAGGTTTTTTTTTATCTTTTACGGATACTAAATCTGCTTCTATGTAATTTCTACCTATTGTTCCTCATTCTCAGGGAAGGAGGAATTAAGTCTCCATAGCTTACCCCTATTTAATTGGAAACACTAACTTCAGAAATCTCACAGTGGCCTGGGGGCAGTAGTGTCAAACTGCATATTTTCCCCCCTCAACATACCTATTTGCCTACAGACTGATGTCTTCAAGAATGACCCTCATTTCCCCGTGCTGGTTTGTTTTTTTCTGGCTCAGGTTGAAAGATTGATGTTTGGGAACCCTTCCTGTCAATTCTGTTTAAAGACATTCAGTGTAGAGAAGGCAGAGCCTGCTGTTTCTGGAGTCCCTGCTGTGTGAAATACCTTGGAATCACACCTCAAATTCCATGTGGTCCTGGAGACCTATCCTTACATGAGGTTGCCTTAAAGTGGCTTAGTTGTGTGACCATCAAATAATTTTGAGTTAACAGAAGTGTAGAATGTGGGATTGTATTGAAGGAAGTTCTGCAGCTCCTTCTGGGAACTGGCTTAGTGGGCCTAAAAAGGACCATCCCAGGGAAGCTATATCATATCCCTGCAGGCTCTTGTAGAACACAAACATGGTAAATAGGGTGGTTAGTTCCTTTTTTCCTTAAGCAGCTGGGTTGGGAGAGAGCATCGGTCTGCTCTAGGAAGTCACAGTAGTATTGACATCTCTGAGAACTAAAGAAGATTTAATTCCATATTTTTGCATTCATTTATTACTGATACAAGGTAATTTCTTCCCAAAGTTGCAAAAATTTTTCCCCAGATGCTGCCTGCCTATTGGAGTCTTCCTACTCCTCCATCATCCCCCTCACCCCATCACCAAACTGAAGGTTTTCCTTGAATGTTTTTGTCCTGTTGTCAAGTCAGCGAGTATTTATTAAGTGCCTGCTGTGTGCCAGGCACTGTTAAAAAAGCAAAAAACCAGTACCTGCTCTCAAAGATGTCACAGAGTGACAAGGGAG